CTGGACATGTGCCCACCAATCAGCTAGTAGAGAGTGCAAGGATAGGTTTGAAAGGTCTTTAGATACAGTTAGCCGGAAGATTACACTAGTTGCAGAGGTAATGTACCAGTGGGCAAATACAGTCCTAGTCCCAGCAGATAGGAACTACGCACGCGTAAGCCACAAACTTGTTGCACATTCACCATGGTTTGATGGCTGCATAGGTGCTATAGATGGCACGCACATAAAGGTTGAGGTTAACCGTCAAGCAAAGGCTGATTTCTACAATAGGAAAGGTGAAACAACAATTAATGTTTGTGCCATCGTGGATATGGATGGCCGTTTCACATACATGGGGGCCGAGAAGGCGGGGCATGTCATGACATGGCAGTGTTGAAAGACTGTCAGGACGACGCTTCGTTCCCACATCCCCCACAAGGTTCGTGATGCCTTGCTGTTCACATACCCTATTTGTTTGCTTGTAGTAGATGCATTGAAGCATACTTGTGTTCAATTTGCTAAGACAGCTGATTTCTCACTGTTTTGATCGCTTGTAGGCCGGTACTACCTGGCGGACGCGGGTTACAAGGAGATGGAAGGCTACATGACCACCTACAAAAACACAAAGTATCACATCAACGACTTTAGAGGCATAGATATGCAGCAATTGCAGAGGGAGGTGAAATTCAACTACATTCATGCTAAGTTGCGGAATGTAATTGAAAGGAGGTTTGGGGTGTTGAAAGAACGCTGGCAGATTCTGGACGGGGTGCCCTACTGCAGTAGGATGAAGCAGGCTATGATAATCATTTCATGCTTTGCTTTAGATAATTTTTTGTGGATGCATAAGTACGGCACAGATCCACCCTCCTATGAGGTGCCAGAGTGGGTTGACCTAAATCTGGGAACCCATATCTCTTGACTTAGGGAGTTAATATCCATGGCGGTGTGGAGTGTTGTCAGATATAGGTCAAGGCTGTTGTTTTACAAAGCAGTAGATGTAGGTACAATTCCTTGGCAGTCTTGTCGTGTGCATGTGTAAGGTTGTGTGGGACTGTGTTCGTTTGGAAAAAAGGTTTATGGGACTATCATATTATGTTTATTGATGTATGACGAATTGTAGTGACAGAACTACAAGTGTCAAGTTCTGTACTGATTGGTGTTGTGATGTAATACTCTGGTTCTCAAAGGTATGATTTCATAGTAGTTGCTATACTGTTTCTGTGATTGACCATGCCAAGTTCTATACGGTTTGGTGCTGTGATGTAATACTATGTACTGTTTAGTTGCTACTCAAGGATTCTGTTCCTCAGAGGTATGATTTCATCATATTTGTTTTGTATTTGTTCATATGGATGATTGAACCAGAGGTAATTTGAGTTTGCAACTGGGCAGGAAGAGGTGCAGAATAAGAGAACCTTCCAGTTGATGGAAGAAGACGTGCTTCGTGCTTCTCAAGCTGTGCTTCCGATTGCAAAGGGTATGAGGTGAGCGGGGCCTGGGATCTCAAGGCGCTTCTCGAGGTGGAGGTGAGTGGGGCCTACGATCTCAAACTCTCAATTGAGCTTCCTCTCTGAAGCTTTGCTGCTACTGCTTTGATCTCATATTGCTGGTTCTGGCTGTGTGTTTGTGTGCGGCCAGAATCGAGTACTGTTGCTCTTGCGGTAAGCCTTTTTTCTAGTATACCAGCATATCATTTATCGCTGGGTTCATAAAATTCTTGGAGCAGTGAACTCATCATGTATTGCATCTGTGAGTTGTCACCTATTGTGTCTTTAAAAAGAAAAAAAAGAAAAAGTATATTCATGATCATAGCTTAAATTTCAACTATGGTGTTGCAGGCTGTGTCTATACTTGTTCTTGCAACTTATCCCTCTATGACATACCTATCGGGAGTGAAACTTTCATTTGCTCTTTATTCTGCTGCCATGATGAGAAGTGCTCTTGCGGTAAGCCTTTTTTCTTTCAATTGTTTCTTTATAGTTCAAATTAATAAATGATAACTTTCTGAACAACTAAGCTAAAGTAGTGGCAAATAAATAGAAGTAGTTTTCCATAATTTAATGGTATTTAAGTCTACATAATCTTATTTTGCAACATATACAGATCACTGTCAACACAGGAATTTCCCTTCTACAGAATAATGTTGTGGTATGTATGGACTCAAGTGAATCATTTATTTTTGGGATAGTATGCTTACACAAATCAAACAAAACAATGTAATATATCTGAAACTAAATTCCAGTGCCAAGAACAAAGAGGCACCGCAAATGGTATATCAACAACTGCGATGCCATTCTTCTAGTCAATTGCTCCAGTAGGTGCAGGGGCTCTGTAAGTCATTATTTCTGTCTCTCCTTTTCAAACAATACATGAGTATCCAGCATTCAACTAGTTAACCCGGTAGAATGTTCTTAGTTTCTGATGATGGATATATGTGTTCACTACCAGCATTCAGCTAGTTAACTGTCTATTCTAACTCTGAATGCATATGGGCCATACAGATTCTCATGGGCACAAAAACGTCAAGATGCTGCTTTCCTGCCAGGTAAACTATCAATATTAGTATTAACTTGCATCAAGATCCATTTTATTTACATAGTGAGCTTGCCATCTTACTGTTCAGCACAAATTGCTTCCCACCAGTGAAAGGTGCTCTTGCTGCCCTTCCTAGTGTATATAAAGGAGATAAATTGACATGTGCTAAGTATAGCTGTGTCTTTTATATGAGATGTTCTTGAGATGCTACGTAAAGTTGTGTATTAGTTTCTTGCACAATAAAAGGGTTTAGATTGGTACAACTAAATTTTTTCTTTTCTGTTTTGGTGTCTAGATGGTTTGTCTTTCTTTAGCTGCTAGTTTGCCTTCAGTACATCTTGATCAAAACTTAGAATCTGTGTTTTATCAAAAATATGCATTTGCTTTTATTCCTCGTATCTAATTCTTAAGAATCAGATGGCTCCAAAGCACCAATGCTTTATTTTGATTTATGGGCATCATATTAAAAGAGATGCAATAGGTTATCTTGTTCAAAACTTTGAATTAGCACCATATCGAATGACATACAGGACCTTTTCTTAGTTTAACTACTAATCTTGAGAATCAAGGAACCACCAAAGCATGAATTTCCTCCTAATTTCTTGTTTTGGCTGCAACTCTCAGGTCATCTCAGGATGATTTAAGGATAAATCCTGCTGATGGGACTGCTGTGAACCCTCAAGCTTTTCAACAACATATTCGAGATGATTCACATCTTATCCCACAGCTCCTTCAGGTAAACTTTTCTTGTGGCCTCATTTATTCACCAAGGTGTGTTAGTTGCCAACAAAATGCTCTTGTACAACAAAGTTTCCTTGATTTGCAGAATGATCCTCAACTAGCACAAGCTATTCTTGGAGATGACACCAATGAGCTACAGAATATCCTGCGGTCCCGCCACGAGCGGAAAACGGAATTGAAAGGTAAACAAGAAGAAGAGCTTGTGAGAATCTCTATGTTGAATTTTATTTTGTCAGCAACAGATCATGTCAAATGAAATATGGGATTGCTGAGTTTTCATGCATAGACTTCGTACTACAGAAGTATAGATCACTTGTGATTTTAATCTTCACTGGTTCACATGAAAATTCGTTGAATCTCTACATGCATTTTTTTTTGAAAAGTATCACCTTGCTGCTTCCTATATTACTTCATTGAAAACATATTTGCAAGTTCTATCAGAAACGTATCAATGTTTTGTGGCATGTTTTTTTCATGTCCAGTCTGTTGCATTGCCAACTTGTTAAATGATAGTGTGGTCACATAGCTAATACATTTGCCTTTTTTTTACAGGCTTTATTGTATGCTGAGCCTTTTGATGTCGAAGCTCAGAAAAAAAATTGAAGCTGCAATCCGACAGGTAGGCATTACTTTTCTCAGGATAGCAAATGTTGGTTATGGCAACATTTATTTGCTTTCATATATCACTGGTACAATGACATATGATGGACATCACTACATGAACATCTACTGTGTTAAGGAGGCTTGAACATACACTAAAAAATAAAAAACAAACAACAAATCTGCATGCTCCATGAAGCTGTCTGCAATTTCCAGGAAGGCTGCCCCAAGAGGACCTAATATGAATTCTATGGTCTTATTTTGACACTTCTAGTTTCCAAGTTGATGTCCCTGGGCGGGTCTCACTACTTCTGGCCAAGACGGATCCGGTCCGACCTTCCACCTCTCAGCTCAGAGACCCGTAGCCTGGAGAATGATGTTGCAGCGCAACCACCTGAACCCGAAGAGCCTGTCCATGATACCATGGAGGAGAACAAGGTGGTTGCCGATGGTGCATTTTTGGGTGTCTTAGAGGACGATGGAACAAAGCATGGTAAGAGTGCTGCAATGTTCGAGTGTAATATCTGTTTTGAAATGGCTGATGAACCAGTGGTTACCTCCTGCGGCCATCTCTTCTGCTGACCTTGTTTATATCACTAGTTGCACTGTGGATGTAACATATTTACTGTAAATTTATGGTTAAACCTGTTGTTGTTGGCTGTAATTTCGAACTCATCATGATCATGACATGGCTGGAAGAAGTTTGAATTTGAAATGTTAAAATATGACTTACTGTTGACGCTATTATTTAAACTTTTAAAATTATGCTGCTGGCTGGAGGCTGGTCAGAGGCTGGCTGGAGACTGAGGGCGTGTTTAGATCTAAAAATTTTTGGGTTTTGGGTACTGTAGCACTTTCGTTTTTATTTGGTAATTAGTGTCTAATTATGGACTAATTAGGTTCGGAAGTTTTGTCTCGCGATTTCTCACCTAACTATGTAATTAGTTTTTTTTTCATCTACATTTAGTACTCCATACATGTACCGCAAGATTCGATGTGATAAGTACTGTGCAAAAAATTTTAGTTTTTGGATGGAACTAAACGGGGCCTGAAAATGGCTGGCCAGTCTATCGAACAGGCTCTTAGAAGGCTACGAACTGTCGTGCGGTTTCCTAGACCCCGGCAGTTCCAAGCAATTAGCTTCATTGGGTCCCGCAAGACCGGTCCGCCGGCCCCGCGCTCTTAACAACATTGTCCTGGTACAGCTCCGACACCTCTGCCCCCTTCACTTTCTTCACTCCAGCCTCCTCCGGTACCTCATCTATGTCCATCTTCCTCTTTTTCTCAAGCTTCTCCCCCTTCCCACCATCTCCCTTCGCTGGCCTGATTTTGTCCAGCCGCTTGAACTTTCCATTTTTTCCACCTTTCTTCCCACCCTCCTCATCTCCCTTCGCAGCACCCCCGCCATCTACTGCAGCAGCAAAATTAGGGCCATTCGGCTGCAACAGCAAGGCCTTCTTAGCCGGTAATTTATCCCCAGTTCTATCCTTCGGACGTCCTATTTGGGGGTGTGATGGTGTATTGACAACACTGTTATGTAACTGAGCCCTGGCCCCTAGGGCAAAGCTAAAAAAAATATAAAAACAGTGATTATGGTTAAAATTTTATCATATATGTACCTCTAGATCACATGCCTATGTCCTCACAAGACAAATGCAGACCTATGCCCTCACAAGAATACACCATAGATCGCATGCCTATACCCTCACAAGGCAAATGCACTCGGTACACTCTTTCAAGTTGCTCTAGCTTCACAACGAGCTTTATTGCCCAGTATTTCCCTTCTGTTTTTTTTTTCGTATGGAGCAGCTCCAGATTTTGGGGCCTGCATGACAGTTTTACACCCCTCAGTTGCTTCAGGGTCATTACCAGTCGAGCATGACACGTAGTAAGAGCCAAAATACACTCACTGTAACAATCAGCTTTCGTAACAATCGTTTCAAAATTGCTTGAAGCAAATGGAATAATGGCTTCACCTGCCAAAAGGTTCGTAATACAAATCTCAAACAAAATCTGCTCTTCGATTGTTTGCAGTACTAATTTGAGCACCACAAGATAACAAGAACAGCTTTGAACTGCATCAGTGTTAAGAACTAGTGTCATTTACAGCATGTGAAATCATGTACCGAATGTATATTCAGATATTGCAGAAGTTGACGTATTATTAACATAGCGTCTTAAAGAAGGCAAAAGGTTACTATCCCATCCTCATGGCGCTCCATTTCACTAAAATTTCAGACAGCTCACTCTGAGATACTCAGAGGTTATTATAAGTACTCCTCAAAAATGTGTTGTGCTAAACAAACCGTTTACACCAATTACGATTCACCACATCGCAATCCTCTCAATGGTACAATCTATTGTTCCGCAATCTTTCTGGTGACATATGGTAGAATGCCACCATGATCGTAGTAAGCAAGCTCCACCTAGAGGTGATCAGTAACGGAAACATCAATAACCAGGATACATAGGCAGCATCAGCGAGTAATGCATGGAAAAGAACAATCATACCTCAGTGTCGAATCTGAGTGTGCAAGTGAACGACTTCCCATTATCAGTTGTCACGGTAACATCTTGGCCAGGCTTGATCTCACTCACATTGGTTGGAAGGTGGACAGTGTAGCGCTCATGGCCGGTTAGGCCCAGGGTGTCTGCATCATCCCCTGCTTTGAAGCATAGAGGGATGATTCCCATGCCAGCAAGATTGCTGCGGTGAATCCTCTCAAAGCTCTTCGCTATCACAGCCTTCACTCCCTGAAGTCAAGTGAAGTAATCCCGTTACCCATTAGTGAGACTCAGAAGGTTAGTTAGGCTGAAGAAACTATTGTGGAACCAACGTTACCTGCAGCATTGGGCCCTTTGCAGCCCAATCCCGAGAGCTTCCACTCCCGTACTCGGCACCAGCCAGGATAATAGTGTCATGCCCTTCATTCTTGTATTTCTGTGGCAAGCACCAAACAAAATTGGAGGAAATGGAAAATTAGATGTTACTAGTGCATAGATGTAGCTTTTATCACTGGAGTAGAAAATATGAGCAAGAATTATATACCATAGCAGCATCAAAAACTGCAAGCTTCTCCCCAGATGGAACATGGATTGTCTTGGGTCCAACCTCACCCTTCAAGAACTTATTCACAAGACGAATGTTGGCAAAGGTTCCCCTAGCCATGATCTCATCATTTCCTCTTCGGCTACCATATGAGTTGAAGTCCTTCCTTTCAACACCACGCTCCTTCAGATATTTTGCAGCTGGGCTGTCTGGGTGAATGTTTCCGGCAGGTGAGATGTGATCAGTTGTGATACTGTCACCAAAGTTCAGAAGGCAATATGCATCCTTCACTGGCCGCGGGCCAGGAGGAGTCATTGTCATATCCTTGAAGTAAGGAGGTTCATGGATGTATGTAGATGATGGATCCCAGGGGTAGAGAGTGCTTGTTGAGACTGACAGCTCATTCCACATAGGATTTCCTTTGGTGATGGACTCATATGTGCTCTTGAACATGTCAGGGAGCACACTTGACTTGACAACCTTGCAGAATTAAAAGCACAATCATAAAGCCTATTCTGACTATATAAAAGGCTGTTCTGACTATAAAAGGTTTTACAGCACAAGTTAAAGGAAATATAGTCAAAGTTACAGTGTTGGGTGCTGACCTCGGCTATCTCTTCTGTTGATGGCCAAACATCCCGGAAGTAAACCTCTTTCCCATCTTTCGATATGCCAATAGGTTCTTTCTCAAAATCAATATTAACCTAAGCAGAAGTTAAAATTTACAAGTTACAAGCAAATGAAAAAAAAAAGAAAAAAGGGAAACATGGAAGTTCAAACATTGACTTGGAAAGTAAAATATTTTTTTGATGAAAAAAAAACTAAAACTAACTACATGATGATGAATTATTGGAACATAAATAGTAGGTGCATATACAGCTTTGAAGTTCCATTGATTAGTCTGATTCAACTACAGAAGTTGTATTTCTTAAGTGTATTATAATAGCATTTCATTTAAAAACGTGTAGGATAGTCAAAACAACAGTGAGCAAGATTCAGTAAATCAACATTTTTATTCTACTGAAACTACATAAAGGATAATCGAACACTAGAACGAGAACAACATACCGTGCCAGCCAAGGCATAAGCCACAACAAGAGGAGGGGAAGCAAGGTAATTTGCTCTGGTTAAAGGATGCACACGTCCTTCAAAGTTCCTGTTTCCGGACAATACAGCAGCAGCAACAATATCTATACAAAGAAGAGGAACGATAAGCAATGTACTCTATTTCATAACTTTAAACTTGAACCATCCAATGACGTTAGAAATTACCATTCTCAGTAATTGCAGCAGACACGGATTCATCAAGCTCTCCGGAATTTCCAATGCAGGTTGTGCAACCATAACCAACAATATGGAAGCCAAGCTGGTCGAGATATTTCTGCAAACCACTGCCAAAAACAAAACAAAGAAACAGTCACGAAGCCTAGCCTGGCAGCACAAGAAATGAATTCAATTCAAGGAACCAAGATTTACCTCTTATCCAAGTACTTCTTCACAACACCGGAACCAGGTGCAAGGCTCGTCTTAATCCATGGCTTTACCTGATTGACACAAACCAGCGTTACTAAAGGATGGTTTCCATATAAAACATAGAGCAAAAGCAGCAATGGTTTTAAAATTGTCATGGTAATTGCCAGAGAATTTTAGCCACAGACCACCAAAAAGGAATATACCAAACCAACAAAGAAATTTAGTTGTGAACCAGTGTATCAATATTTTAGTCATGTTGGAAGATGAAGTCCAGAACCAAACCTCCAGGCCTAACTCACAAGCCTTCTTGGCAACCAAAGCAGCTCCCAGCATTACATTAGGATTTGATGTGTTTGTGCAACTGGTTATTGCTGCAATTACAACATCACCATGCTTAATCTTTGCAGGAGTCCCATGGAAAGAAAATTCTGCAACTTTGCCCTGTGATTCTTTGGGGACAGCAAAACCCTGCAATATTGTTGCAGTGAGCATAGCAAAAAGAAACTGGGAAACAAAGTACAGAACAATATCGAGTATAAACTGATTGGATCTATATCCTACTCCATCCGTTACAAATGTCCTAAGTTGTCTAACTTTGACCAAGTGTTTAGAAAAAAAACATCAAAATCTACCATATCAAATTAATTTCATAAAATTCTCCATAAGAAATGTCTTGGTGGTGCATTTATTTTAACTTGTAGATGTCAATATATTTTTCTCAAACTTGGTCAAAGTTAGAGAAGTTTGACTCATAGAACAAAGCTAAAGTAAACTATAATTTGGAAAGGCGGGAGTGCTATTCAGTGCAATTGATTAACTTACAAGAGCAAGGCTGTGATTCAGTACATACACAATAAGTTGCAATCCATAAAGGAAAACCTTACCTTGAATCCTACATCACTGTCCAAGCAAGAAAGCCAATCAGACTTCATATTCTTCAATGTCACTCGATCATGAGGCCTGTCAATAAAGTTCATCAAATTTAATACTAGATGAGGATAAAGATATGCTTATAGCTGAATAGTGTGATTTAATCAAGAACATTACCGTTTTGGTCCTGATAGACATGGTTCTACCTCTTCCAGGTTAAGTTCTAGATAGGAAGAATATACTCTTTCAGCTTCGACCTACATCCAAGACAAACTTTAGGTAAAACAATATGCATATACTGAATTATCCGCTTCTGCTCAACATATAAAAGACAAGCACCTGGCTGTGATCAACAAACATCTTATTCGCACGCAGGTAGGACTCAACCATGGCCACCTAAGAATTGAAACAGCAAAAAAATTAGAATTAAGTGCTCAAGACTCAAATTGAATATACACTCCAATTAGCTTACCGTATCATCACTTCGGCCAGTAAGCTTCAAATAGTCCAGTGTCTTTCCATCAACTGGGAAGAAACCCATAGTTGCGCCATATTCTGGAGACATATTTGCGATGGTCGCCCGATCAGCAAGTGACAATTCACTCATGCCTTGCCCTAAAATATAGAAGTTCAAATATATAATATTAGAGAAGCTCTTAATATAATGAAATCTAGAAGCTCTTAATATAATGAAATCTAGAAGCTCTTAATAGAAGATGTTAATTGCAAAAGGTAAAAATTATGGTTACCATAAAACTCAACAAATTTCCCAACAACACCATGTTTCCGAAGAATTTGAGTTACTGTTAGAACCAAGTCTGTGGCTGTAACTCCATTTTTCAGCTTGCCTGATAACTTAAAGCCAACAACACCTGGCAAGACCATGCTCATTGGCTGCACAAAGAAACAAACAACAATCAATATGTACATATGCAGGTTACTGAAGCAGATTAACCAAAAAATAGGCCATACTATAGAGAACAGTACTTGTGCATAATATCTCTGAAGCTCAAGTTTGCGAACATTTGTTCTTTTCATTGAACATAAACAAAGATGAAGAAAACAAATGCTCCACAGTATCAGAACCACTCTTTAGATATCAAAATGTACTTCACCTGGCCAAGCATTGCAGCTTCCGCCTCTATACCACCAACTCCCCACCCAGCAACTCCAAGACCATCTATCATAGTTGTGTGAGAGTCAGTGCCTACGACGCTGTCAGGGTAAAGGATCCCACCATTGTTAAACACAACCCTGGCCAGATATTCAAGATTCACCTAACAAAGTAAAATGGTGGATTATAAGTTTTCAATAGATAAAATAACCTTGACTGGATTAAGTTATTTAAAAAACAATCAAATGAAGAAAAATACCTGGTGGACAATGCCAGATCCAGGTGGAACAACAAGCATGTTGCGGAATGCAGAGGACCCCCATTTCAAGAACCCAAACCGTTCCTTGTTACGATGGAACTCAAGCTCCATATTTGCCTGAGCAGCATTTGCTGATCTTGCGACATCGACTTGTACTGAATGATCAATAACAAGGTCTACAGGTACCTGCAACCAGATGCCATATAATATCCGTATCAACAAAAATAAGCAGGTACACACTAACAATATCTATATGCATGCAAGCTATCTTAAGGGAATGAATGGAAAAGGAAGCATTAGAGGCTAAGTTAACAGGGTGGTAAATGGCTTCACAGAATTACTTTCAAAAAAGAAAACATTAATAATTTACAGGAGGGTTAAAAAGCTCCACAATCAAGTGAATCAACTTAACATCCAGAGCCTGCCTTCATCGTGGGGGAAGGCCCACGACAGGACGCGCATGGCGAATGCAAACAATGTGGGCGCATGGTCAACCCCAACTGAAAGCAAGACTAACATTTTTCTCGAGCATGCAGGAGAGATGTGTGTATCATTGCCTTATAGAAGAAGAGAGTTCACACACACACAGGAATCACATTTGTGTCTGAGCAACATAAATAAAGGATAACCCGACCTAGAATTTATCTACTGGAGCTAGGCGCTGTAATGAAAGAGAGTCCCTTAGGATCTGCCATATTCCAGAGCTGTGATTCCTCTCCAACGAGAGATGACTGTGGATAGGCCCTAACTAACTCACATGACACAGCAAATTTGTTATAGCTATACCAGACTCCAGGCCCACCAGAATAATGATGTAGGAGTAATATGCTTGGCACCAACCTAAAAGGACATCAAGAAAGGCTGGCCAATAACGTAAATGCATTAGAAATTTATCAAATCTTGTCTTATATTAAAAAGGTGACACCTATTGTTGGTAACTGCAATAATAATGACAAAAATTATTATTATTAGCTAATACAAAGTCTCATAAACAAGCAAGATTCTTCCAGTCATGGTTCATAGCAGTTAATGAAAAGGGTTTAGCAGTCTACATAACAGGTAGTGTCCACACTGAAATATCGATTATGTCATAAAGCAAAGATTCATATAATAGTAATTGATGGTATATTGAGGGAAAAATGTGAAGCACGTCAACAATCAACACAGAAGAAAGAAACTAGGACAAATGGCAATAAGGAAAGTGACATGAATGGCTAAAGAAAATGACAGACCAAATCAAAGATAAGATTGTCAATATCAGCATTGTGCTTAACTTACCAGAGGATTAATTTTGTTTGGGTCACTGCCAAGTTTGCTCATAGCATCCCTCATGCATGCAAGATCAACAACAGCCGGGACACCAGTAAAATCCTACCATTTAGGAAAAGTGAGAAGACTGAGTCATCAGTCAACTAGCCTCAACGACAATATGATAATACTCCAGGAAGTAGAACTTTATTCCCATCAATTACAACTCGACAAGAAGTAACGTCAGACTTATATAATCAACTCAACATTAAGAAATATATATGGGAATGCAATAATGCCACCTACACCTTCTGTTGTTGGCTACTATATATTTTTCATTAAACAAGTCAACAAATAGTACCAGTCAGGCACCCTAGAATTGGTGCATGGACAAAAGATAAATCATGGGGAACTCCACTTTCTTGATAGGATAGGAAAGTGGAACTCCAATTGCAAGATTCCTGCCACAAAGCCATTGACAGGAATATTGCCAGCTCACATTTATTCTATCCACAGAAGTTCGACAAAATGGAATAAGAAAAATTGAAAACATGTTGCACGATCAGTACCTGGAGGAGGACACGGGCGGGCTTGAACGGGATTTCAACTAGCTTCGGTGCACTTTTCTCCCAATCCAAGATCTTCTCAACATCGTTCCCGGTGACCTGGAAGTCATCGCAGTTCCTGATTGCCGACTCGAGAAGAATCCTTATAGAATATGGGAGCCGATCTGACAGAAGGAATGGCCAAATACATGGGTCAAATCATCAGTATTTTCAGCTAACTGAGACATACAAACCTACAAACCTATATGGGAAAAAAAATGCGCTCAATGGATACACCAACATCATCGTCTCAGACAATTCGCGCATCCCAACATTAATAGAGATCAGAGACTGTGTGGGCCTGTGAAACGAACCCACCAATTCATCCACATTACACGCAACTGAGGCAGGAAAACAGATCGGAGGAGACAAACCTCACCAAATTTCAATTCAGCAACAAAAAAATCATGATGAAACCACTCACTGCTACCAATCAACTAAGTCACACCAAAATTGAGGACGGGAGCGTATCGAAAAAACATCCAAACTAACTCACCAATCCGCGGATCGGAGAGCGCAGGCAGGCTGTAGTACTTGCCGAACTCCTCTCCGCCTCCTGGCCTCTTGAGCCCCGTCAGGATTTCATCGTACGAGTTCCTGGTCGCTGCAGAGTGAGAAAAAAACAAGCCGAGACAGAGACGTCATCAGATGGCGCGACCCAGACCCGATGCGATGATTTGACCAGCAATCCCGCCCAGGTCGTCGCAAACCATACCAGCTGAGGCGAACCGGCGCTCGAAGACGGCGGTCGCAGACGACGCGGAGCGGGCGGCGGCGCGGTGGCCGCCGAAGAGGCGGCCCGCGAGGCCGGACGCGAAGGGCGACGCCGGGCTGGGGCGCAGCCTCGGGGTCGGGGTCGAGCGGGCAGGCGGGGACGAGGAGGAAGGGGCGGCGTCCGCGGCGGGCCTGGAGATCGCAGCGGCCGCCCCCACGCCGCGGGCGGTGGAGCGGGAGAGGAGGGAGCTCGTGAGGGGAGGCATGGCCGCTGAGCCAAAAAGGGAGGAGGAGGGTGGGATGGCAAAAGTGGTGGGGGCGGGTCTTATATATAGACGGCCGCGAATTTTGGGAGACGCGTGGTGGGAATGCGCGGCGCGCCGCGGCGCGGCGCAGAGCGAGCGAGCGAGCTCCCGGTAGGGTTGCTGCCCTTGCGGAAGATGGGTTTCGTTTCGTCTTGGGCTCGCGCGGGTTGTGCGGGTCTTCAAGGCCCCGCAGCCGCCGCGGTGGACAGCCGAGCTGAAGCTTCGCTGCGATGTTTTCTTGGAGACGGGGCCAATCGCCGAATGTGACGGTGACGGTGGGAATCTCTTTCGCTCCAAAGTGGGCGAATCCCGTAGGCCCGCATGGCAGAGGCCATACACGCTGGGACGGGCCCGCTGGTGCATGGAATTGGCAAGGCCACCGCGAACCTTACCAGACTATGCGAAGTTGTGAACCATACGTATCCATCGTTATACGTCAGGTTCGTTTGGGCTTATTTTGGTTTATTTTTAGCTAACGAATAGTATTTTTCTCTCACACTAAATCAGCCAATAGTACTTTCAATCATGGCTTATAAGTCAAACACGACCAAGCGAACAGGCTGATAACTCCAAAGAAGATCTATTTGCACCTCGATTTTATTTTTTTAAGAAAAAAAATGCTATGCTATACTGTGTCAGGGTGAAGGTTTTTCTCCCTCAAGCTATTTTTTTTTCTGTTTCATCTATTCCCTTCTCTGATGTATTATGCAACTTCGACGGGATTTCAGGGCTAAGAATATTTGCAAGGAGATATTCGTCTTAGAGGGAGGTTCATCGGCGGTAGGGTGGCCGATGGCGTTGGTGGACACATAGCGGAGCGGCGAGACGATGGTGGTAAGGAGGCCGTCGGATGTGGAGAAGGCTAGCTGGGTAGGTGATACCATGAATCGATGGGTCAACGTGGGAGTGGGAGTGGGGGACTCCGTGACAGAGACAGAGAGTGGAGCATGAGTAATGTGGGATGGAGAGGTTCGCCATTGCCAAATTTTATTAAACAACATGTCTTGAAGAGGGGGATGAGGCGGAGTATATTTAGAATGTTTCAGTAGCTCTTCAATCTAAGATGCAGCACTCGATTCATCCACCAAACTTTTTAGCGTCAGTTTCTACTGCATGCTATGATACTTGCAACCATGGTTTATGGCACGTCCAACTTTCGTGCAAGCCAAATGGCAACTCGATAAATTACACGGCAAATCAGATTTCTACACGGAGATTTCAGGATGCAATCCAAATACACCCCAATGCTTCAATGTGCTTTGAGGCATATAAGGATCGTATAATAGCACGATATACACCATATACGATGACCGACAAGTAAATAAGATGGTGCCTAACGTAAGAGGTATTCGTTGTTGAAAATTTCATGATGTGTAGCACTAAAAGCAAATAATAAATGGATCCCACCGCAATATAAAAAAGTTAACAACCAAATATGGAGATAATGTGCTGCAAAGAACATAGACTCGATGTTTAATGTTTCTTACAACCAGATCATGGTGCTATTGTCTATTATTTGTTGCTTACTTGTTTCATAGTTCCACAACATTATTATCCAGATACGATAATTGCATTTATTTACTCTCCCCTACTCGGTGATTGTTTCATTAATTGCATCTATGTATTCTAAGGATGGGTGATTCCATTCTACTTTAGGGCTTTGGGTGCACTGGCGTCTATCTTGGTGCGCGGTCACATTCTGAAGAATTTTTGAGGTGAACTTATTCAACACCTGAGAAAATATATACCTCGGCAACAAAGTAAGCACCAGGTATATTAAAAGACATCCACCGGAAGTTAAGTTTGACGATCGTTCACGAGTTTTCTCTGGTGCAATAAAAATGGTGCACGTAGGTAAACTTGTGCCTCGGCATCTGCGGTGTGGTACCCTAGCCACGTGAATGTCGCTAATGCGTGCTCTATGTTCTCTTGCTTGGCTTCTTCCGATACCCTTTTTCAGTTTTTTCTGTACCCATTATCTGGGAATCGTGTGCACGCCTTGCTCTTGAGTCTTGAGGCACAATTTATTGACTTCTGTTCACAACATAGCCGCGTCACATCGACGTCATATAGGGAAAAAAACGTCACAAAAAAGAATTCGCCTTTTGTACGTACTCCGGCCATTTTGTTCTAAATGTTATATACCCGGGAAATGAAACACTATACTGTATCATGGAGCACGCATCTAAAAATGTCACCGGTTTGCAGTTTCTACTTCTACCGAACGGCAGGCTTAACTGGAACCCAGACGCTGGCAGATCCAACGCTACGGTGGATGGATCGGTCGTAGGGCCATAGAGAATATGTTCTGCTGACGATGAATGGTGAGGAAAGCAGGCCAGGTCAATCCGCTGTCTTTGCAAGTTGCAACAGCAGAAAAAATCAAGGCCATTTGATCGAATGATTTTGAACACAAGTAGTACGTGCTTTACGAGACGCCTTTTTTCGTTCCTGCTTTTAAAATTCAATAATATATTGTACGGTTGCCAATAGATTATTCCAGCATTTGCATTATTATTTTTGTCGGTGCAGGTGGAAGCCAAACGGCGATTCCCTCTCGTTAGAGAAGTTTCGGTTGCATAAGAAAACCGAGAGCAGAGGAGAACAAACTCTGTTTCGCTTACTCGATGCCCCAATTCCAGTTGTAGAGGGGATGCAGTGGACTCTCTCTATCTTCTGCTTCCGTTCGTTCCACTGAATTTCTGGTTCCAATTCCAGTCCAAAAGGGGATGTAGACATGCAGTGGACTCTATCTTCTGCTTGCAGCTTGCGTTCGTTCCTCTGAATTTCTGGCTCCGAATTGTCAACGGTGAGTTGCACGCGGCATCGTATTTGCCCCCCTTTTTTACTGGAGCTGGGAAGTCTACTGAATGTTATATACGTCGAGCTGCAGCTCTTTTACTGTTGTTTGTTGGTGCCCGTAGCGGCTATTAGAGTTTCGCAAATGGCAATCTCTCCCTTTTCGATCTCAGTCTGCAAAAGGAGAGCTGCACCTGCCAGACATGGAATGGCGATTGGCATGGTGCAGCTTTTTTTCCTTTTATGCCGTAACATGAACTCTTGTCACAAGCATTGTTTGTTGCAGTGCTCTCGTAGCGCTGTCACACGAGCTGCACTGGGACAGGGATGGATTCATGGATGGCACACTCAGAAGTGTGTATTTGATTATCCCTAAAAATATGGATGCCAACTTTTAATGGTTTTATCAAAGGCTCCATTGATATATAAAAAACTTGGTCCATTGATATTAATTGGTCCACTTTTTCTATAATTTTTTTTTCAGAATTGAAGGTTTTTAACAAAGCAATATTAAAATGACTTTGTATATTGGAACAGATAACCTGTCCATCAAGTGCTCATCCATTAATTCTTCGCTTTGTCAATTCTCACCATTCATCTTCTGTTGAGGCAGCTTCTGTAATACGACCATGTCAGCTGCCTATATGGTCATGGTCGTGGGGGACCTATAGTGAAATTGGCGATGCTCACGAGACTACGCATACGCTTGACCCTTCCTCCATATTGCACGAACCTGTAGCATCACCGAACAGCTTGCTGAACTATACTGCTAGGGATGATCTTTTCATTTTGTGTTACGTCTACTAGATGACGTGACAGGGACACAGTTAGTCATAGCTAGTTATAACTGCAGACCTTAGACTTTTTTTTTTAAAGAAACAGACCGTAGATTTAATGGTTGAAATCAATTGAATTATTTGAAGACTGACAATAGCTTAGTTATAGATTTTTTTAGGTTTATGCTTGTTAAATATAAATAAATCTATAACTAAGCTATACATGATCGAATGAGTATGAAATTTTTACTACAGTTCAATCATACAATAATTAGCCCACTATAAAAATTTCATCACAATTGAACCATAGAAACTGCAGCTATGAATTATTCTAATTAATTACATAAAAGCATAGATCTAAAATCACAGTAAAAACTTTATACTAAAGCGTTCCATATTCTATGTTCACTGTGTAGATCTACTCATGTGGAGTCCAACAAAATTGGATCTTCTATTTTATGATTTTTCTGTGATTTACTATTGACTTTTTGAAGATTCAACCGAAATAAATAAAAAAGAAAAAGACAAATCCGCCTTCAAAACTGCTTATAACTAGGTCAGGGAGGTAACATAAACGGTTTTAAAAGTTGAGGATGTGTTTTACCCGTTTTGAAGTTCATGGAGGAAAAGTGGACTTTCACGAGAGTTGAGGGAGGTAATGTTTATTTTTTCCTTGACCATTCTGCGACAAAGAAAAAAGAACTCTCGGCCCATGTACTGCAGGCCTCAGCCAGACACGTGAGACGGCATACATATGTTCTTGCCTTTTTTTCCTGCTAAAAAAATGTTCTTGCCCCTGTTATTTTTTTCTCCATTTTTTATCACAGAATCTAATACGGGACCTGAGCGTGACCGCACGACGGGGCCAGCCCACCGGTCCTCCCCCACCCCACCCTCACGGCCGGCGTCGGAGATAGGGACCTCGCCGGCGTTAGGGTTCCGGCATCTCTCGCTCCCACACTCTCCCTCTCTTCTTCTTCATCTCTGTCGGGCTTAGAAGGAAGTTTTGGAGGAGACAGCCGCAACACAGCGGCGGGGCAGTGCGGCTGGAGAAGGCGGTTGGACGGGGGCGTCATGGCGGAGCCATGGCGGCGGCAGGGAAGGGGGTGAAAGGAGGGCCGCTGGCGCAGCAGGATCTCGCCAGCCGTGGAGCTCCAGCTAGACCCTACCGTGCAGCGGCGGTGACGGCAGCGGAGGCGAGGACGAGGGCGGAGCTGAGCCCTTACAGAAATCCTTCGTGTCAAAGTAATAAAACTACTACACAGAAATCCTCAATTGTCACAATTCTCCGATCTGATTGCCCTTAGATAACCCATGTGGACATATTAGATGTAAACCTGAAGAATGAAGTGCACAATCATTTGATGGCCATTAGGCAAACTGATCTTATACACGACCCCATAAGCTTTACTTGTATCCAAGTGCTTGTATGTGCTTTATGTACAAGGACACCATAATTACATGGAGTACAGGTTAGCACATCCGTTATGTTGATCTTACAACAGCACGAGCCCCTCACGCATGCATCAAATCCGCATCTGTTGGATACTCGTATCAGCAGCAAACAGCTCACTTGGACAATATAAAGCTCCCTCTAGAGCGAAATGCAGCATTGGAGGTTCCTTCCTAACCAACACAGCAAATCGTGGAAGCCCTAACATACCCAGTTCTACATGATCGATGGAATCGAGTCATTCTTATCTGAGAAGAATGACAGGTTTCGAAATGCATCGAGGCTATTTGCCATCAGGCGGTTCCAACTATTTTGACTGTCCCCTATCAGCATGTCATCGGCTTGATATCTCACAGACGGTACGTCCAAGTCCAGTGGTCCGAGTGAATCAGGCTGCCAAGAAAGGGAAAAAAAAACAAGGTAAGCTCAGCTAAGATAATGCCAGTACAAAAGAACATTATGATTTCTTCAAGTACCCAATATATGTCAGCTAAAGATTGATCCTTCAACTCATTCGTTTCATCATTTCGAGGTGGTGATTTAGCACACAACTCCTCTTCGTCTTTGGCATCGTCGTTATAAGGATTATCAGCATCATCCTCTCCAGTCAAGTCCTAATAAATGAGATAACACATAAATAAACAAGGTCAAAAACTCAAACATATAAGCTTATTTTGCTTCTAGGAGAACCCAAAAGATGTCAGCAGACCTGAAGAAAAGCTTGAAATCCTTCCGAATTTGAGGGATGAACTTCATTGTCAGTATCAGGAGAGCTGCTAGGAGTGTTTGAGCCTTCTTGCTTCCTGGAGGCTGACAAATTAAAGGTGAACTCATCACATGTTTCTTCTGCTCCCCATATAGTTGAATGGGGAGCATGGGCTGGCTGCTCGGATGCTTGATAACGAGAAGCATGAAGGGCAACAGCAGCATCAAACGAGTCATAGCTGCATGGGTTCTCAAGAAACAAAGGATTCTTTACACTAGTCCCTATGCAATCCAAATGAGGACCTTTGGATGCTTCTGTCAGTAAGTGCCCAACACTGATATCTGTAAGGGTGTCTGCCCACTCTACTTCAGATATTGCCACACAATTCATTCCCTGATCACCCTGAAGTATAAATGCATACTAAGTTATAATAAGAGAAAGGAAGATCGCCCATAGAAACATTTAGTTGTCACAAGGATGCAAGAGACAAAAAATATAACCTCAAAAGCTTGGGTTACAGGAACCTGCACTTGCTTTTGGCTGCCAAACTGAGAGGGGGGCACATTAGCTGGCTGATCTGGAAGCTCAGAATTCTTGCCTGTACTAGATGGTGTCATATGCAATAACACTGAACTACAAGGATATTGCTTGTGAGTGCAATTACTGAGCAAAGTACCATCCTTTTGCACACAAGCCTTATCTCCTGATGGCGATTTGACTTGGATGACTTCTGGTATCATGCAATCCTCAAAATGGGTTAAAGATATTTCACTTACTCCTGCTCCAAGCTCAACAAGGGAAAACCAACCATACCTTAACAACAAAATGTTGACACAACAATTAGCAATCATTATGTAAGTGACCCATTAGGTTGACTTTCTAACAATCAGAGAAATAATATACCTTAAACGGAAAACAGAAGGGCTATTCACAGAAAGAAACACATCAGCTACTGCAACAGTATCTCTTGTTGTCCACCTCTGATATGTAGCCAAATCCTCTTGATTAGCACAATACGGAAAAAGAATAAGCTCTCCAGATGCGATGTTTGAGTTACCCCATTTTCGGTTTAGATGTTCTAGCACAGATGATATTTTCTTCCTAGAGCTTAATGTGAGCTCTAGATGAGGATTATGGTCATCCTGATAAGAGGAGAAAAAGCACCATGTAATGTTCAAATTGCTCAAAGATTGGAGAACTGAACAGAACAACTCAGACCCAAACCAAATATAAAGAAAAAAAGTTTGAGCAAAATGCAAAGGGACACTAATCAAGTTATCTATTCATCATCTTTCATCTATAACATGCATGAATTTGACAACAAGAACCTGAGTGCTTGGTCAATAATTCACCAGTAACAACTGACATGTTAAAAATACAGTGACTTGAGGGAAATTGTGATTCATATGCAGTTTGCTAGTAGCAAGAAACCATGCTTTACCTTCTCCAATGCCTTCCGAGTAGCTTCATTTATTGGAAATAACTGTAGCTTCAGCTTCACAGGTGCTTGTGAATCTGCTTCCTTCATATGATTTGTGCTGATGCCTGCAAATGCAGAATAAAAACATCAGGACAATAGACCTGTATCTGCTACTGTTAACTTCAACGAGTGTGTTCAACAAAGTTCAGCAAATACAAGAACTAAAATCCAGATGCTAAAAGCCATACCATCAGCAGTAGAAAGTCTATCTGATGATGAAGTCAGTGTTCTTGCATCAACATTACATAAAATGCCCGGGTTAATTGTGTTGCGCTCGAGCTCCTCAGCTGCATCAGCAACTAAAGAAACACCAGCCATGGCCGCTCTCTCCCATTTTTTATATGCAGTAGATGCAACAGCGCCACCTAAAACACAGGTCACCAGCTATCCACATTAATGCAACAAAGGTTCACCATGAGAGAGATCCTCTACATGCTAGTTTTAATCATCAACAATTTCACCAAAAGTCAAATCACACAGATTGTGTGACAAAAGATAAGCAAGGCTAGGTCATAACAAAGGAAAAGAGAAGATGCGCCCACCTGCCTTCCTTTTTTGTTTCACGGTTCTTGTGGCGGAGAGGTCCCCTTTAGTTGTTCCTGACTTGTTAGAAATTGGTTCAGCAACCCGCTTGAAAATTGTCCCTTTAGGAGATGCTACTCTGCTACCATTTTGAGCATCTACTGACAGGAACTTTACAGGAGGAGTCTCATTTCCAGGAGCCTTGCTGATAATTGGAGATGGACAAGGTAGGCACATATCCACTCGTGAACGCTTTCTCCTGGACTTATTTCTGTCCTTTAGCAGTTGTTTTCCCTAGCAAACAAAAGGAGAGACATAGCATGAGAAAGAAGAAACAAACTGACAACATTTGATAGTGAGAAAAAAACATGGGGAAAACGCAACTCACCAATGCTTCTACAAATGTTTTGAACCTCCGAGGCTTCAGATGCAGCTTTGATGCACTGCAGCTAAATTTCTCAAGCAGAGACCACCTGCATCAAAACCAGCTAATATTGAACTGCCAGCAGTCGAGCAAGCACATCCTTAAATGAAATTGTCATTATTTATTCGCTTTCTACAAAAGCTAAGTTACCTGTTTTCACAAATTATTAAGAAAAGAATTCTCTAAAGAAGGGAGGAGCCGTATGAGATGAAACCTCATGTACAGTTTGGAATGGATTTTTTTAAAAAAAAAAAAATTGAATGCACAGCCAAAATGGATGTTGGCTTAATCTAAAAGAAATGATGCAGAAGCATTGCACAATTATTATGAAGCTAAACGACAAGAAATTGAATTTAGATCGTGTATGTAACACAAGAGTAAGCCAATCACGTCAAAATCAGTAGAAAGGTCCACAACAGATCAATAAATATGACAAGATATCAACTACATAACGGAACTATAATGAGTGGTAGTCAGAGCCTTCAGATATCATAGATGGCTACAATCTACCATCATGATCTGTAATAGAAAGACAAGATGTCCAAATTCCTATAAATATCATATGCCAAAGAGAGAACTCAGAAAATATTACAAAGTAACCACTAGTTTTTGCTCCTATGGTGTATAAATAAAATCAACAATGAACTATATTTTCAGGCAATTTACAGATGATAAGATATATTCAATTACCAGCGAAGCATAGCAGCAATGGTATCCTTGGAGTTTTTTGCATCAAGTGAGAACCTAGGACCCAATAGCTTCTTCATGCGTCGAACAAGACGGTAATAGTAATGCCTGACCTGTATGGCACATAAAGCATTGAATCTTTTTACATTAGATTCATATACAACAGAATTAAACTTTTAATATAATAAGATAGGCTAATGTTGCAAGAAAAAGATAAAACATCTTTATAGTAAAATATAAAATATAAACTCTAATCATCATAGAAACAGGAACTCCTTAGGACAACTCATACATAACTAAAATCCACGGCCTAATGTGTATCCGAACATCTTGGTTGAAAAATAAATACCTGATCCTTGTTTTTACTCTGAACACGGTGTGTAATCTTGTCGAAGTTCTGGCGGAAACAATACGGGATTATCCATCAATCGATTATTATGTGCTACTTAGATTGCAAATAGCAGAAGAGCATTGCATCCAGAATTTATGCCTCTTACTTTTCCTACTTGCCGCAGTGCATTGAAGAAATTCTCCTCCTCTTGGTGTGTCCACGCAGCCCATTGTCGAGTCTGCTTTTTCGCTATGAAAATCAGACACAGAGCAAAAACTATCACGCAAAGCCCAGAACTGTCATAAACAGGGAGTCTAGAAAAAATACAAAAATAGTTCACGAAAACGAACCAGGTTTCTTGTTGGGATCAGAAGGCTCAGGGGCGGACCCAGTGAAGGACATGGGTGTACACATGTACACCCAATAACTTCTGCAAAAAAAAAAAAAATCGAATTTATTAGGCATATATATAAACTTGTAATCAGGGGCGGATCCAGTAAAGGGACATGGGTTAAATAGCTTTAGATTAGGGTTTCGTTGCTCAGCTTGAAGGAAAGGGAAGAGAAGGGGTGGGAGTACCTGGTGGGTGCTCGTCGCCGGGAAGAAACCAACTACTGCCTCAGCACCTGGCTTATGGCGGCCGCCGCGGGGTGTGTGCGGCGGCGGCCCACCAGTCGTCGGAGATCGAGAGGGGGCGAGAGAGGCAGACAGAACGCACGAGCAGGGATGCAGTCATGCAGCGGACGGAAGGGGAATGCACATTAGGCAGCGAGAAACACACACACACACACACACACGAATGGGCCTTCTTCTGGGACGTTTTCTTTTTCACAATTTCTTTCTAAATTTCTGTTTTCTTTATTTTTCTTTCTCTCCCTTTTAATTTTTTTATTTTTGTTGACTTCATATGTCTTCTCGTCATGGGACACTATCAATGGCTGATTGGCTGGTACAACATTTGTTCTAAATAACAGAAATAATATTGATATTTATGAGTATATAGTAAATTGTAAATAAGTAAAAAGAACTTTTTATATTTTATCAAGGTTGAATATTTTCTCATAGAAGCTGGAAGCCATTTCACAAAATCACAAGAACATATAACAATTTCACAACGGTTAAATGCACCAGCGGCATCTCAACTTAGAAGCATGTGTGACATAGGTCCATAAACTTTAAAAATGTATTTTTGGTTTCTAAACTTATTAGATAGTGTACCGCAGGTCCATACCAGCCATGTGAGCATTTCTCACTGACGTGGCATGCTAAAGTGGCTTGTATTTTTTATTTAATCTCTCCTATTTATTTTTCTCTTGAGAATTAGATCCTCCCTTCTCCTCTCTCCCCTCCCGCAGCGGCACTGAGGCTGCTCTCCATCGTGTCAATGACAGAGCCAATCGGTCGATGTTGCATTATACGCTAAAACCAACTGAAGGACCTAGAGAAATTATCTGCCAGTTTGTTGGTTGATCTATCTAGGTGGTTTTGCGGGCTTGAGCACTACCGCTCGCCCCGCACCAGGGGAGTCGGCTTAGCCGACTGGACCAGTCAGTTAAGCCGACTAAATGGGGGAGCCGGCTAGGCCGATGGCTCGCCTCCTTCTCCGCGTGTTTCTTCGCTATTTTGTTTGCGCTATTTGATCTCCAACATGCTCAAGACATTTATAACTTGTTGGAGATACCCACGAACCACGTCGAGACATTTTTTAGTGTCAACAGATCCTTATACACAAACTTCTCACATGATTCTACGTTTTGAAGTTCCTCTAGAACAAAACTTCTAAAGTCGGATTATTCTGATTGTGGGAGATGACAAATGATCCGATGAGAGAGGATGCCATCTTGTCATAAGCTGGTCTTGTCACTGTATGTCGTTTGGCTGTGGCACAACATAACAAGAAGCAAGTCGGAGATGCTTTTTAAGATTTGTTACATCCCAACCATCTGTATCATATGCTTTTTGTACCATCTCTAGAAACCCACTTGTAATTGCTGTCATCGAGCTAGTAAGGCATGTTTAGTTCCTCTAAAAAATTTACACCCTATTTCATCGAATGTTTAGACACATGCATGGAGTATTAAATATAGATTAAAAAAATAACTAATTATATATATTGCGACTATTTTGCGAGATGGATCTTTTAAGCCTAATTAGTCCAAGATTTGACAATAAAAGTGCTACAGTAATACATGTGCTAATGGCGAATTAATTAGGTTTAATAAATTAGTCTCGCGGTTTACTGACAGATTCTATAATTTATTTATTTATTATTAATATTCGAACACCCCATATGACACCCGATGTGACACCCCAAAACTTTACACCATGAAACTAAACAAGGCATAGCTTCTTTCTTATATATGGCATAACTTCTTTCTTATGTATGGCCACGTTATTTGTTAGCATGGCCACGATAAGTTGCAATTTGGTACATTCGGATTCCACAAACCTAAAATTTTGATCCATGTTCGCTCTTGTGTATAGCAGCAGCGGAAGATGATGCCTGACGGAACAAAGGCGAAACATCTACGCCCGGCTTGTTCGCTTGAACTTATCAGCTCGGCTTATCAACCATGGTATAATTTTTTTCTCACAATAAAACAACATCAGTCGGTTTATCAGCCGTAAACACCATTAGCCAGCCAATCTAAACTCGAAACAACCTGGCATTAGATGAGCAGATGTACTATGCACTATGTTCTGTCTCCTTTTCTGAAAGTAGTAGAAGCAAGAAACTATCTGCGTTGGGTTTTGTTTTTGACAGCTTCAAGTATGAAATTTTTGCCCACCACCCAGGCGAATTCAGCCTTAGACTGTCTCCAACAGGCTATGCATCACACTACCCATACCCAAAAAACATCGTTCACAGGGGAAAAACACCCTCCAACAGAGTAGGCAAATGGAGTACCTATTTTACGTCCAAGGTGAGAGGGAACCAAAAACTGCGTCATCCAAGAGAGAGGGAGGGAGAGAAAACAGAGCAGACATGGAAAGAGAAGCAAAGCAGGACGACGGTGCTTGGCTGCGGCAATGCCGTCGGCGGCTTTGGAGCGCTCGGCTCCGGCACGGCGGAGTAGAGCGGATAGGAGAGGAGAGGAGGAAGAGGAAGAGAGATGGAGGGAGAAGGCAGCGGCGGTCTCGACTGTGCTCCTGGGAGCGGTGGCTCGTGGCTCCGGTAGGCGGAGGTGCGGCAGTAGCCACGGCAGTCGTGGGCCTGCGTCCGGCAGCAGGGGCGCAAGGCAGACTCGAGAGCTGAAGGCAACAGCGGCTCCAGCGAGTAGCGAGCTCGATGGTGCTCTGTGGCTTCCTTGGCGCGGAGGCTTCGGCAGCGGGATTCAGACCACGTTGAGCATCTCCAGCGGCGGGGGCCCTGCAGCGGGCACCGCGCGCCTCGGCGGCGTGCTTTGCGAGCTCCGGCGGCGGATCGAGGCGGTACGAGGCATATGCGATGGCGTGCAGCCGGATCCCTCCTTCCTCGTCCAGATCCGGTTGGGGCGATGGTGCTCCCCTCCTTCCTCGGCTAGATCTGGCATGGACGCGAGCGAGGAGGAGGCGGGCGGCGCTCGGCGGGGAGGGAGGCGGCCGGCGCTCGGCTGGGAGAGAGGCGGGCGGTGCTCGGGGCCTCTCTTTTTGCGTTCGCTGTTGGAGTTTGCCAGTTTTGGGTGCGATTTTCTTTTCGCTGTGCGTGACCCAAACGGTGAAATAGGTCTCGTGTTTAGGTCGGCTCTGTTGGAAATAGTCTTAAAATTCGTTGTTGTCCACAGAATATCCATTGCATCCATACGTCGCCGAGCATGGAACATGGCATGCATCAGGGCGATCGATGACGACAGCGATTAGCGAGGCAAAAAAAGCCGGTGAATCAGCTGCTGGCAATCTGGCACATCATCACAGCGATTGTCGATCGATCAGCGCGGCGGTAAGACTATCTCCAACAACAACACCTAAAATACAAGACCCATTCAACGTTTGTGTACGTTTGGATAGCGCTACAGTCAAATGGTTCAATACCCATTCGACATCTGTTTACACTAAAATTTGAAAGAAGAGTTGCAGGGACTCGAAAGCTCCCAAGATCGTGTCATCAAGGGGTCAATCGCGTGCAGATCGAAACTAGCTGATTCGGTTGCAAAAACTAAAATCGGCTTTCTTCAGATAGCGCCAGCAGACAACGACAAAGGCTACGTTCGGCACCAGGACGAAACATGTTGGACTCTAAAAAAAGAAATAGATTAGAGTCCAAGTTATCTTAAAATTATGAATGTTTTCTTTAGGGTCAAAAATTGTGATGAGTCGTGCTTAAACAGGAGTCATACACAAGTCTCGGGTATAAATATCAAGCCCCGGTTATTGTAAAAAGGACATCAATCAATCCAAATACAAGTCAATTACTTTTTCGGCTCCGGGCACCCCTTAGGAGTAGGAGTAAAGTAGATTTCGGCGAGTTCTTCAGCGAGTACGGCTGCATCGATCCTACCGACCTCCACTGCTTGTCTGTAAGTACCGTCATGGTTTATACCTCTGTTCGTATGGCTGCATCGATCCGGTCGACCCCCACTGCGGCTTTGGTATAAACTAGTTATCGACTCTTGTTTAATTCAAGTATGGCTTGTGTGATTCTGCTTCACACCCCACTGCTTGAATTAGATCAAGGTTAGGTTATCGGCTCTACCTTAGAATGACAGTCTTTGGTAGATTCATTAAGTTACCGATATTGCTTATTGCTTTCATTATTTATCTAATTACGATCCCGATTGATTGAGATTGATTTAGACCCCTTATATCTTATATGACCCATCGTTTGCTAACCTAAAATCGATCTAATAAAAACGATGAGTTATGTTTTATCTCTTTTTCAATAATTTTAAGGCATGTGCTCGTTGATTAGATTTATTGACTAGCAAGAACTGCTCCACGGCTCGTGTATTTCGCCTCACATCAAAGTAGATCTATTCCGATAAGGCATGACTTTAATCATGCATTATGCCTAATCACCTTTTTAGCCGATATCGAATGCTTCTTTAGCTCGCATCACGAGACCGTTGAAGTAAAGATAGGTTGGAAGATATGTTAGCCCCATGATCTTATTATTGTATTACGACTGCGTGATTAAAGATGGCATTGCTTACCCATTATGGATATCAAATTATACTGGCGACAGAGTATCCGCTAGTCCACGGGTGATTGATTTGTTAACGATTTAAGAAAATAGCCTATCCAGATCCGCAAACCCGCCTTACCTATCTCGACATATATGGGGTCACGCCCAACAAGTATATATTGGAAGACAAACCCAATCCCCACCCACCACCACCCAAATGTCAAGAATTGACCACTCGCCACGCCCGGTAAACCCCACATCCAGCGGAAAGATCGCTTCCGCTTAGGGGTCCACTCTAGCCTAAGCCGGCGGTGGAGTTTGAGATCAAGGGCGGCTCTGGATCGGCGACGGCGTCAATCTCGCCATGCGGATCTCGCCCGCCTTGACCTCGGCACCATGGGGGATCTCGCTCTGCTTGACCTCGTCGGCAGCCTCGCCTTGGGTGTCGCCACCTCCTCGCCTTGGCGCTCACCCACACCCTGCTGCGAGAGAAGAGAAGGGGCCGGTGGAAGAGGAGGAAGGTCGCGACCACGAGCCTTGACTAGCGAGAACGGCTTAGGGGATCTCGCGGTGGCGACGGTGGATGCGGTTCCTTTGTTCGCCTGCAAGGCGCATCCTTCAGCGAATCGCCTCTGTGGGATCAAGCCCATGGCCGCCCGCTCGCGCCCAGGCCGCCTTTTGCGACCGCCATGCGGCCAGTAGCCGCCGCCCGCGCCGCCTTCTCGCTTAGCCATCTTCGCCCCTACACCGCCGTGGACCGCGGCCGGGGCCATCTCCGCCTCGCAGCTACCATTGTCTTCCCCATTTGGCGGGTACGCTCTGCCCACGGGCGAGCCTTGCCCGCGGATAAGACATGACACAAGTTTCTTTGCCGTGGCGGCGGTGGCGGTACTGGCACGGGCACAAAGATTTTGCACAATGGGCGTGGGCATGCGGCCACTATCTGCGCAGATATTGCCCGTTGCCATCTTTATGCATGATTCTGTCTCATGCCCCACTGGTATTAGTAATGAGTTAGGGTCGTCTAGTCTATTGTTATTTCTACGATCTGTATGATTCTGCCTCATGCCCACTGGTCATGGCGATAGATGAGATCTAACATGTTCATTATATTTATTTTTATTAAACGGTTAAGTAGTGTTGAATTGTTTTTTATATAAAAAGGGGTTCGATTATTTGTAATCATTGGCTTAACATAAACCAATCATCGTTGATATCTTATTACCATTGATTCATATTTGTTTAAACAATGATGTTTATCCTGAATAATAACCGATTCTTATTACACAACTCCATAAGCTTTAACTGATTTATTCTCATGAATATGCTGGAATCGACTATTTAGTCGATCTCCTTTCATATCAGCTTTCATAGCCGCACATTCGGGACTGTCTGGCAACACCGGCAAGTTCCGCCCTTAATTACTGATGAACTTTCTCTCCTTGTCAATTGCAGAATCAAATTGACTGGCACGCCTCGGGAGGATTGCGCAGAATCGACCATCCCTGCGCTGAAGCTAGGCGAATCTGCTCTATCGAGCGGACCCTTCCGACTTGCTGCGTGTGTCCTCGGCACGGGATGAAAATTATGTGTTGACAACATCCTCTCCAACAACGGGACCTAAAAGAGAATCCTTTTTGCAAATGATTTTTTAGGAGAAAGGATACTCATATTAAGGTCGTACATCTCAGACAACCTAAAATGAGTCTCTATAAAATGAGTCTTCCATATAGATACTTTATTAGAGGCTAATTTTAGATATCCTAATTTGGATACACACGTGATCACCGAGTCGATCTAAGTCGGCGGAAATGCGCTCCGCGGGTCTCCACCCAGAGTCCCTACACTGTAACTGCACAAGCCGCACAGGGATGGCGCTTGGCCACGAATAGGAGATGTCGGAAAGGAGAGGAACAAACGACCCTAGCTGCTTGCTTGCTTCTCATCACAAGTACACACCGTGCGTACCTATAGTTTTGCTGTGCTGTCAGCAGCCCACCTTTGCGCCGTGGGGGGTGGACGGCGCGCGACGATTGCAACGCAGGTACTCCAGTATGCAGCCGTGTCAGTGTGTCACGCTCGAGCTGCATTTTTTTTTTGAAACGAAGCCTCGAGCTGTACTCGTCCACAGACCATTGAGCACTGTTTAGCTTTTCTGTAATCTTCTGCCATATTATATTATGGTAACATATCGTGTGCAAACTGATCAATCTATACAAGCTTAGAAATTACGCTTCAGATTCTTAAATGCTGATCTAATAGATAAGGTGAGGGAGCTTAAGCGTAAAAAAAAAAGCATGCAGATGGAGGGTTTAAGATGAGCATCCAGGGTTTTCAACTTTACATGTTTTTTTTGGTTTGTATACGAACCTTATATTATTATACCCTTATTTGTGTATACCATTTACTGATCCCACGAAAGGCCACGTCACCCGCATTTCCTGTCCCTACGATTCAACATCGACGGCCACCGGATCCGATTCCAGGAGCTTCCTGATCCATCCAAACCCCAAGTCTGTCTATACCACTTCTCTCCCCTCAGTCGTCTCCCTCCGTCCGGACCCTTCCCCTCCGCCGCTGCCGAGCCCGCGCCAACGCCGCGCCGCGCCTTCGACCTGCAGGCACGTCGCACCCGTGTCGCTCGACTCCCACGTCGCGGCCCCCACTGCCCGCAGCGTTGGCCGCATGGGCGGGGGTGGTGACCGCACGTCCACCGAACGCGCCTCCGCGGGCGGGGATCCGCCGGCCGGCGCAGGGAAGGCCTCACGAGCGACCACGTCCCCAGGCGGCGCGACTGACACCGGCGCTCCGATCTGGTCTCCACTTCCCCTCTCTTGCGCTTCAATCTCAGCATACACTGCGTCTTTGAGCACCGTGAGGGCCCCCTCTGCTGTTTCCTTTGCTCTTGGTTGTCTGTGCCCTTCAAGTGCTCGATGAAATGCTCAAAGGGCTCTGCTTGCTGATTTTGCATCCGTTCGGTGCCTTCCAGTCATTAGCTTATCATACTGTCCTGTACTTGATCATTCAGCTATCTGTGGAGTAGTTTCGTCGGGTGCAGCCGAAGGCTCCAGGCGGACACCTACTCATGTAAATCAGTCACATCACACGGAGGTAATTTTGTCATTACTGTCTCCATGTCTTCAGTATGCATGTACATAAACATCCATTAGTTTTGCTTTCTGGCGTAGGTAACGTTACCAATAAATAACCAGACAATGTTCAGTCCTCTACCTCAGCTTTGCATTTATCAATGCCGATTTCAGAAACCCTGCGCGTCAACATATAGGTAATGTTGATTCATCTACTGTCGGCTTCGCATTTACGGATGCCAATTTCAGAAACCCTGAGCCAGTGGTCCAGCGATGCATGGTTTTACTTACGTCACTTTGTTTCAAAGTAATATACCAAATAGGTTCATGATTTGTTTTATGATTTATTCATTCAGGGACTCCATCGGGTTGTTTATCGTACTGTCCTTGGCCCTCTAGCTGCTGCCAGAGTAGTTCCTTCAATTATGGATAAACGCCGCAAGCACAGAGCTACTCATATACATCAGCAGCAAAGAGGTGATGCTGTTACCATCAAGGCTCATGATTACATTTATTTTGCTGCTTCAATGCCTGCCTTCAGTATGCATATACATAAACTTTCATTTGTTTTCCTTTGTGATATAGGCAGCGGTACCAATGAACAACTACCTGCCATTGCTTCATCCGCCTCCTCAGCAGTGCTCCTCTGCCCCGTCCTGCTTCCCGGCGTTTGACGACTTGAGCTTTCATCCCCACGCTAGTGACCGATCTAGTGTAGTAGGCCTAGGGAGCAGCTGATCCCCATCATCCAGTCCTCCAGGTGCTCCAGGTTGTCTTCCCTTTTGTTTGCTTTCCTCGGTTTGTTTGGACATGCTGTTGATTCAAATTTTAGTTCCGTTACAGATTATAGTATCAAATCAATTTCTTTTTTGTGTAGTCACATCTATAAATTCTACTTGCCTGTCATCTATGTCAGATCCCAGAGATCTCCATCCTGTTTTCAAAATCCACTTTACTCTGAATATTTTATTAATTATGCTTCCTGATTAGAGCTAATAGTTTCATCAGTGTTATTTATCCTCTTTTTTTCTCTCTTCGTTTTTTGTGCAGATCCCGGTCGCTTGCTATCAAAGCATCCTCCTTCAGCTACTCCCCATGATTGCTCACATTGTTAGTTTCTTCTACTATTCCTGATTTGTTTTTGTGGCTAATTATGCTTGAAAATTTACAAGAGTATAAATTTTGCATTTGTTTCCATTGGAAATTAGGTTCTTTTCGAGCCTTGCTAATTTTCCAATTTTACACATTTAATTTATTATGGCTTCTTTACCTTCCAAATCATTAGCACTAGTTCAGGCTGTTTTTGCTAATTTTAGTTAGCCTTCTTCACCAGTAGGAGACGTTGGCTTCATCTGCACTCCATCAGCAACAGTGGCGTGCCGCTAGCATGATAAAGGTATACCAAATATTGCACTTCACTTGTTTGGATTGATCGCTGTCTCCACCAGGCATAAAATTTGGCATTGATTTTATCTATCTTGATCTATGTATGCACTAGTTGGTATCACAGATTTAAGGTTTCTGACTGTTACTAATTGTGGTATGCTTTCGACAACTGCATGTGTGAGCACCTGATGCTCATATGCTCTTGAATCCGAGAGCTTATCATTGTTGTCCATATGCTCATGTATTCTAAAATTTGTGTATCCTATTATGCATGCTACTTTGCTTCCTGCAAGACCATTTGTATATTGTTCATATGCTCATATTTAAATATGTACATCACTGCTGCAGGTTAGTTTCACCTTACAGTTAGAATTTGTTTTTTATTTTTACACTGTCAGAATGTTAGTTTCTTTGTTTTTACATGAATTCTACTACTACTTGTTACGATGTTTCTCCACTAGCACTCCTGCGCTTTATGCAGAAACAGCAGTAGCATTGGGCCGGTAGTAATTTAGATGCATTCTTTGCTTCTACAATGAAACCAAATTTCTTCAATTTGCCTATGTCTCGCCTTGGAGGATTTAGTGTTCAGGTCATATTGCCCTGGATTTTGCACAAGGTGAAACAGTGCTCAGTTTGCTTAATTTTTAATATGTTCAATTATCAAGCTACAGACATTATTAGTAGTCGAAAAATCTATTGCTTGGACATATGAAGTGGTGTATCAGCTTACCTTTAACCGTTTCCATTGGAATGTGGGAACATTTGCATTGCAGTCAATTGTGATGATTATTGGGGATTGGGAAATACGTAACATGATAGTAGGTTTCTCTGATCTGTTCAAAGTCTGATGCATCCTTCTAGAAAATAGTTGAATAAGTTAAATTAATCTGGTACTGCAGTTGCAAGATAACTTCAACATTTAAAGCTGGACTACAGCTAATTTGGCATAATGGGTCACACATGTTCTCCTAATTCAATTTAACTTTGCTTAGAGACCACACTTGAACTGCATGGATAAATTAGTAACTGAAATAGTTCCTACGCTTGATTCCACACAAAATTGAGGCCCCATAGATGATGTGCTAGCTAAGCTCAATTGGTGCTAGTATTTACTTTTTAGAATGCTATGACTGCAAAACCTAAGATGTTTTTATGGTCAGAAGGATTTGTGTTGAACAAATGTTTCTTTATGACTGCAATAAAACTGTGTCCAAGGAACCTCATACCTAAATGGGGAATCATCACACTAAGAACATATGATCCCTTGACACAATTTTACATAACAATTAATATGTATGTATTTTTTATTTTACGAGCCCAAATTACCAGTATTCTTTCATTGCACTTCGTCTTATACTTATCTTTCTCTCCTTATTAGATATACGTACTCCTCCTTAGTCAATTATCACTGTTCAGCATGTTATTCTGAAAGCTCGTAATACTCACAATTTTTTTTGAATCATCTACCTTGGTTACAGCCAGAAATTTCA